ACATAAAAATAATCCTGTGCAACGCACGGGTTAAAAAAACTAGTTTATTATTATTATTATTATTATTAAAATTTTAAATATTGTATTTTTAATTATTAAAATATATAAAATAAAAAAAATCTAATAATAATGAATTATTTTAAAAATCCAAATATAATTTATATAATTTATTATTTATTTTAACAATTTAACAATTTATTATTATTCAAAACTCACATATCTTAAACCCCACAACTGAATTTATATATATAAATTTTTTTTTTTGATATCTTCTACATTATTTCTTCAATATCTAGTTTCACTGTATTAGTGTCGATCTCCTTAATCCTCAACCCAAGAACCTCAACCCAACAACTTTGAAAATTGAACAAAGAGACTCCGTCGGCAGCCTGACGCAGGTAATTATTTTTTTAAAAATAAAAATTATTTTTAAATTCTTCATTTAAAGATAAAATAAAAAATTTATTATTCTAACATGAAAGACGTAATACTTAAATAATCAAATTTATTATTTTTTATTATTATAAAAAATTATATAATTTTCTTTTAAAATTTAGAGTTGTTGAGATTATAAATAAAATTAAATATTATAATAATATTGAAGTTATATGAAATAGAATTGAAGCTGAGTAAAAAAAATTGAAAAAAGGTATAATCAATAAAAGAAACATATATGAACTCAATAAAAGGAAAACCTTGGATATAATCATACGTACAAAGAAAAGCAATAGGAAGATAAACTAGTATAAACTTTAATTAACTTGTAAAAAGAGATAAAAATTGTTTGATTGTAGATAGTGATAGGGTGAAAAAATAGGATGTTGCTGTATTTCATATTTGCCAACCTCACTTGTGGAGATGTAGAATCTCTTTCACTAGAAAACCAAAAATAACTAATAATTCAAATAATTAAGTGTTTCACCATTACATACTAATATACTATTTTAAGAATCTTAATAACTAATTAAATGCTTAAAAGTTTTATATTATCAATTACTACCTCTATACAAATTTCAAATTTTTGATCTTTTATTCAAATTTGAAATTGAGATGAACAAGAAAATGACTAATAGATTAGAATTATAACAACAGAAAGAGTATTTTTTATCATAAAAATTGTGAAAATGAAACTTCACAATAAAATGAAAAATAAATTCCTTTCAAAAATTTTAATTATTTATATTAAAAAA